AAATTATGTACCAAAATTTTGTTTCCTAAAACATAATTTTTTAAATGATTTGTGACTATCATATACAAAATATAAGGATTTAAATGTTTTATTTAATTTTGGTCTTTGCCAACACCTATAAAAAAAAGTCACAGCAGAAGAATTACAAAAATTTACTTTTCTTCTCACTTTTTACAATTTTATCACTTTACTTTGGTTTGCTTCAAAGAATTCTCAGCTAAAGAAATCTACAGAAAATCACTCTTAGGACACATTTCTTCAAAGGTGTTTAATAAAAACCTTGGAAGGAGACATTTCCCAGTAGTAACTACTTGGCTGTAATGGTTATGCAGAGTATTGCTGCTGCAGAGACATTTTAAGGGACTGTTTAATTTTTCTTACTAAGAGCATAATTCTAGTCAGAAGATTGAATATATTCTGTTACTCTGCAGAGTTTTAAAGCTATTGACATTTTATCTCATCAAAATCCACATTCACAACTTAGAATTTACTTATTTGGTTTCTTTTCTACTTCCTGCTTCCCTTTGTGTTGGTCATTTAACTCTTCACTAGTATCAACACTTGAGGTAGCAATAATAAAAATGAAACTACATGGGCAATCAGCTCTTTTGGATTGTCCACACCTTTAAGTAATATGGTGAGGGTGTTTAATGGACTACCTCTGCATTTCCCTTACTTACACACTCCCCTCTTTGTACCTTGCCTTCCTACTTCCCTAAAGTCTTGGGCTGCAGCCCACATACATTCCAAATCCAAAAGGTACAGAATTTCTGCCTCCCTAGAGCCCTAAAAATGTGTCCCTTTCCTCTAATTAGTTTTATGCTTCCAATATGGCATTAGAAACTTCATTTAACAAAGATACTTAATACAGAGCTCATGTTTCCAGATCATTTTATCTGATTCAATAGTAGCCTTTTTATTACACATACACCAGCAGTCAGAGTATCTACTCCCACATGCAATGTGAATTAATAAATCTGTAACCAGTGATCTGTGTAAGAGACGACATTTTCAGTCAATAAAACTAATGCCATACTCACGGTGAAGGTTGGTGGGGCTGGTTTTCAGCATTTCTTGGTGTTTTGCAGGCAGCAGGCTTCGCCATGTCCCTGACAACACACCTGGGGCGCATGATAGACAGCACAACGCACTATTAATTATAAAAAGGGTAGAACACATCTGGAAATTAAACACGGTACTGAAAACACAGTCTAATGGAAAATCTTTGTAAGCCCCTTTGATCTTAACCTGGAGGCCCTGGAAAAGCCCTTAGAGTTGGATATTTTGACTTAGACTTCCAAGAGCTCAATTACACCCAAATAAAATCTGTGCTAGCCTCTCTATTTGATTTTCCTTTAAGCACCAATAAAATAACTGTCAGCAGTTTTCCCCATAGAAGAAATGCTACTGAAAGCTTTGGCCTCGCCATGCGATGACATCTGAAAGCTTAAAAATACGAACAGCTGTTGCGTTGATATGTTAAAAGATGGGCAGGATTTCTTGTGGCTTTGGTTATTTTACTAAAAGATACGGACTCTTGTTTCCTGCCATTCATTACCATATAGGTTTTTTTCTTTATGCAGAAAGAGATCTAACAAGCCTTAAGACATTCTCCATGTTCAAAATCCCCTTCAAGTTAAGAAAAGAGAAAGACTTAAAAAGAAATGTTCATATGTAAAGTATTTTTGTGTGTGTATGTATGAAATAAATAGGGAAGATACCTCCACAATGTGAAAAAACATAGTAAAAGGTCTTTGTGTCTTAAGTCCTCCATTACAGGTTAAATAAATGCAGAGGATAGACAATTTAACAGAGCTCCAAAGGGCAGCAGAATATACTCTCACCCTTGTGTCAACGGGGCATACAAGCATTGAAGAGATTCATTGGCAGAAATTCGAAAACACCCCCATCTAAGGCTGTACTTGGATGGCTCAGATATCCCTTCACCTCAAAAGCTTTAAAAAATACTGCTTTGAATAGGGAAGCCTTGGTTATAAAGCTGAGACCCCACATCTTAGACTTTGTTAAATGGAAAAGCCCCTTAGGACCCAGCTTTCTCAACCATGAATCTGGTTCTTAACAACTCTCATGGAGGCTTCTGGGAGGTTTGACTATACTGCTAATATTTAAAGCCAGTCATATTATTCCAGAAGTGGATCACTGGTGAGGCGGTGGCAGATAAAATGTTTTCCCAGAGTTAAAAGCTGCATGGCAAAATTCTCCACTTCTGAAAGAAATGATACAGGGAAACATGGACACAACGCACAGAAACGTGCACACACACATACTGCTCATTCCAAACGAGGTCAGGTAAGACTTAGAAATCAATATGCAACGTGACGAGAAAAGAAAATGGTACCATTTTAAAGCCTCGATATACTTCCCTCCTAGGATAAAAGTAAAGGAAGGTGGCATTTGTCAAGAACTAATGCTAAACTCTTAATGGACTGGTCAAGAGATAGGAGTCAAAGACATCCACAGGAACCACAAAGCCTTCTGTTGTTGTTCTAGTTTTATGGAGGGGGAAAGCCATTCAGGCATCAGGGTTAAGGGAATTACCAAGGAGGCACTTGGTTAGGAAGAAATAATGTCCTGGGATTTCTGAGCTCTGAAATGTTAGTCTAACTTAGACAAAGTACAGTGCTCAGAAAGTCACATTTCATAGCACTGGAAAATCTTTAGCAATTCCCACTCAACTAAAAATAGTACATTTAGCATATTTAATCTCCATGCACTGGTTCGTTAAAATATCGGAAATATCACCAACTTTGGAAAACATTTTGAAGAATTATATCTATGAGAAACCATATGCAACATTCTGTCTTAGTTCATTTCTTTTTTTCCCTAAAGTTTCAGGAAGTTATAAAAAGCTTTAAAATAAAATAAATCAGCCGCTTTAATTACAGTTTTCCTTAGATATGCTTTTAAGTAACTCTATTCTAATAAATGTGGATTATCAGCCAGCACTAAAGGTAGGATCCTAAGTAAAACTTTTTTTTCCCCCTGCGTGAAAGACCGTATCTATGTAAGAAAACTCTCATCTAATCTCAAGTACCCAGTGGTTTTGGTGTAAAAGCACAACAGCTGACATAATGCTTCTGTCTGCACAACTATAGAATCTTTCAAATAAAAACTTTATTTGAATACCTGAACTTATATATTGGATAATGAAAAAAATACATCAACAATCAAAAAATTTAGTATTTACAATTAACTTAAATATAATTTTAGGCGCCTGGGTGGCTCAGTCTGTTAAGTCTGCCTTCAGCTCAGATCATGATCCCAGGGTCCCGGGATTGAGCCCCACATTAGGCTCCCTGCTCAGCAGGGATCCTGCTTCTCCCGGTCCCTTTGCCTCTCCACTTCTGCTCTCTCTCTCACTCACGCTTGCTCTCTCTCAAATAAATAAATAAAAATTTTTAAAAAATAAAAATAATATAATTTTAAATATACTTAATATACTTTAATTAATTCTTAAAAAGCAGGTAAACAACATATTTTTCATACTAACATATATTCTGACCACAAGGCCACAGTGATACAGCTGGCTACTGAATCTGTGTTTTGGGGGGAAAACCTATTTGTTTCAGATTGTTAAATTATTCCACCAATTTGATGGGGCTCTAAAGTATGGTAATATGTATTCCTACATTTTCTAATTTGACTTCTTTTTGGCTGAAATTTCTCCCAGATATAAGAAAGAAAAGATTTTTTAAAAACCTTTATGCTCAGATAGATATATAAGATATATAAAAAATACATAATACACTTCAGATTTTTGTTAGCTTGTGTGGATTAACATTTCTTTAAAATCATAACTGAATTGTGTTGTGTCTGGCATATCACAGTTTGGAGGGGTAAGCTGTAATAGTTTTTACAGTTCTAATATGCAGAAATTGTTCAGCACCAGTACCTTCTATTATCTCCCATGCATTAAACTTGTATCGTATAAACCCCTCATACCTTAAGAAACACAACAATATTTCAGTATGTTGTAGCTCTTAAGTGTCTTCCTCTACATATGATTTATTCCTTCAGCCAGACATAAGGAGGCCACAAACCCTGCCAAAGTGCTGACTTCCCAGAATTACTATGGATCAAGAGACTAGGAGTTCAAGGGGTCTGACCTCTTATTCTCTGCAACGTCTTTAATTCCTCAGGGATTTACGTGGACTTTTAACAGTCTTCAAACTGCAAGGGAGCATTCCCTCATCACTCAAGCATCATGGCAGATTTATGCAAATGAGACATTCTGCAACCACCTCAGGGGAATGCCCCTCCTGACTCCGCCCTCAGCAATGCTGGATTTTATGAATGACTGCAATCAATGCGATGAATGGCTGCCAACTGCCCACTCAACCACTTCTATTCCTCCCTGCACATACACACTGGAGAAACTCGAACTGCCACAAGCCTGTCAATGAGGTTATGGTTAGACTTTTCATCTCTCTGAACAGGAACTAAATGTGCTTCCAGATACTCAGAGTATGTGAGTTTAAAATCCTAAATGCCTTAAAAAAAACACAATGTACATAATTACTTTCTCTCTTTTGAGCTTCCATTTTGGTTCCTGTAATCACTACCCACCCCTCTTGACCCACTTGCAAAAAAACAAAACACTATTTTATGAAACTTTATATCTCAATTTGAACTTTATCTAAATTGTTTTATCTTTCATGACTAATGTCAGGAAACTAGTTACTGTGCACTCAGCTGTCAAACAGATATGACATGTTTACATTTCTGTTCTCAATTTCTTGGTTTTTGAATTTTACTGAGATTTCTCCTATCATCACTGGAGATAAGTACATTCAAACAATGTCTGGGAAAAAAGTGTATTTGTACTTACTCCCCAAGTGTTATTGTACTAGTCTGCATTTGTCCTAAAAAAGCTTAGAGACAGTTAAAATAACGTAAGATTGAGAAAATGAAAAATTTTAAAAATACACAATCTTCTGATTTGCAGGTCACTAATTAACAATATATAGAGGGGTGCCTGGGTGGCTCAGTTGGTTGAGAATCCGACTCTTGATTTTTGGCTTGGGTCATGATCTCATGGTGGTGAGATCAAGCCCCACATCGGGCTCCTCACTCAGCTGGAGTCTGCTTAGAAATCTCTCCATGTCCCTCTGTGCCCCCCCTCACACGCTCTCTCTCTCCCTCAAAAAAAAAAAAATAGATAAATAGAGAGAGAGAGAGAGAGAGAGATAGAAAGAAACAAGGATTTTCCAGCAGCCATCTCCATCTTGGCTGATTGCAAATACATTTCTCTAGCTGTTCAGGCCAATAACTTTAGACTTTACTTTTCTTTTCTTACCCCTTGCATCCAATTCATAAAATTGGTTCTGCTTTCAAAATATGTTCAGGGTCTGACCATTTTTTACCTCCTCAATTATTGCCATCCTGTCTTGAGACATTATCACCATTTACTTGAATTCGCACAAGACCTTTAACTGGTTGCCCAGCATTTACCCTTGCCCTCCTTCTCTAGTCTATTCTCAACTCAACAGCCAGAGTGACTCTTCTGAGAGATAAATCAGATCATGACTCCTGTGCTCAAAATTCTGCAATGGTTCCCAGGTTTACTCACAAATAAATTGCCAGAGTCCTCAGAATATAATCTGGCCTCCCATAACTCTAGAGTTCATTGCTTACTACTCCTTGCTCCCTACTCTCTCCCTCCTTTCTTGCTCATTCTGCTCCAGCCACACTGGCTTCCTTGCTGGCTTTCCTCAAATACACCAGGCATGATCTTACTTTGGATCCCTTTCACCAACCAACTTTTCCCTCTGTCCGGAATGTTCTTTTCTGATATTGGTATGACTAACTCCCTTACCTCTTTCAAGACTTTGCTCAAATATCAGTTCTTGAAGGTTCCCATTCTGATTATTTTACTTACCACTATAAACTGCTTTCCCATAGCCACCATACTTTTATATGTCCAGTGCACTCTACCTTGCTCTACTACTTACTAAAGTTTACTGCCTCCCACTGATGAAATATGAAGTGCTCAAGAGGAGGGATCTTGGTGTCTTTGGTTCACTGACATATGCCAAGAACCTAGAACAGTACCTGACATAATAGTCACTTAATATATATTTGTCAAATGAATGAATAAGAT